GCTGCTATTCTCACTATCCTTTCCCAAATTATTCCATCACCATTATCTTCAACTCACTGCCCCCTAGGCTTCCCATCAAACCTTTTGAGTTGCAGTTGTCAATTTGATCTCACATAGATAATTCTTTTCTTTTTTTTTTGTAAAACAATTTTTAATTCAAAACAAATGAAATGGAAATTAATCAAATGTGGGATTAAATAAAACAATACCCAGAATAGGCAAGGGCCTGGTAAAACAAATAGTCTTAGACACTGGTGGAAGTATAAACTATATGATAATTTGACAATATGTGTCAAAAGCTTTAGTGCAATAAATTTGCTTGATAATTAGAAAAATACACTTTTTAAAACAAGAGAGACAGGCTGATACAGAAAGACAGATGGACATTCAGAGAGAGGCGTTAATGGACAGTCTTTCATTGTTTTTATGTTTAGGATGTCATTCCCTCCATCCCAAGAACAGCTGTATATTCATCTCCTTTGTGCTAAATCCATTTAAATTTGTCTTGTTTTCATAACTATATGAATACAGAAGTATAGTACTTCCAGATATCTGCCCGCTGGAAGGTAATTATGTCTGTGATTCAAATCTGGAGTAGAAAAAAGTACACTGAATATAAGAATATAAGAGGATTGATAGTTCCTGACCTCTCAAATAGAAAAATATATTATTCATCTAGTTATTCAGTCCTTTTCCTCAAGCCAGGTCCACAGTCCCACATGTATAACATACTGGGACTGAGTGGCTAAAGAATTCTAACAGCAACAACAACAAAAAAAAACCAAACCAGTTGTCAATTCTGACTCGTGATGACCCCATGTAGAGTTGGAGAAGTGACATTCACGTGTTTTAGCACCTAACAACAATAGTCATTTCCAGTCCTCTTCGCTCTTCCACACTTAGTTTTACTACTTTTTTGCCTCCTGACATTCTCCCAAATTCAAATTTAACAGATTTAAATATTTCAGACTTTTCCAATGAACTAATATACTATAACTCTGTCTCAACAAGAAACTCAAAGCCCACAAGTTGTTATATCTTAACTGATAATCTAGTTGAGATCTTAAGAGTTAGTGAGTGTCTCTTGATTACAGAATTCCACAAATCATAGCAATTAATGGGATGAGTAAAGCCTTGCAGATTCCTGAACAGAAACCGGGAAGGTGGTAGTTTCAGGCAGAAATAGGAAAGTGCATCCCTTTTGGAACTTTGGAATGCAGGATGTTTCCGGTTTGGAAAGGTCCCTGCATAGCTAATTGGGTGGGAATGAGCAAAGTACATGGCACCCAGCTATTGTTCTGTTGTTTGGTGGCCTAAGGAGTCTTGGACTTGTGTTTTTTTTTTCCTTCCAGGGGAGTTTTGTTGCTTGTATGATTGCCATCCTGCGGCAAATGGATGACAGCCACTACAGTCACTACATCAGCACTTTCAAAACCAAACAAGACATCATTGTAAGTTGTCTTCATTGGGTCCTTGTAACCTTCGTATATCAAGCAAAAGCACATCTCCAACAAAATAAGTCCAAGGATCTCTTCCCCCCAACCTCCACTGCTATGTGGCTGTCCACAGTGATTAGGAAAAGGCTTTGAAAAAGAATACAGTACATACAGTAAAAGATCATTAGGCAACCCTGTAAGTCTTTTGGACTTAGAGAGAGCCCTTGCTTAGAAACATTTGGGAGATCTTCTTTTTTTTCCTTTGAGCAAAGGATAGTGTCTCATTTAAGGGACAGTAGTTGCTCATGCCATACAAGGATTTTAGGAAGCAGAGGTCTTCAGAGTCTTCCAAGATGTGGTTGGTACCATTATTTTCAGTATTCCCTGGAAAAGAAAACAAGATATAACTTCTTCCCCTTACAATGTTTGTAAGTTATCTTCAGTTGAAAATATTTCTTTTGTTTTAAATGAAAAATTATTTTCCTAGTTTCTTTTAAACATACAGTGAAAGGCAGCCTAAAAGGCTAAGAGCCTTCCCTTCAGGGATGTAATAGTGGCTGGTAAAATGTCCACGGAGGTGGCATTGGATCTAGCAGAGCAGTGGATGGACCTAGCAAACCAATGCTACATAACACTAGTCTTTGCTCTGAATAACTTCCAATCATCTGTGGATATTCCGATCATCTTTATGCTTTAAGTTGTATGCTTTCTGCCTATATCATACTGAGAGTATTTGGCTAGTACACCCATGGATAGCCAGCTCTTTCCCTGCCAGTCACGCCTCCTTTCCATGAGGCCCACATGATAGACACACTAGAAATGGGAGATGAAGTACTCTTCATTAGTTGGTCCAATGCTGAACTCTCATAATGATGTATTGGACCATGTGGCTTAAGCTGAAAATCTAAGGAGGACCTCTAACTTCACGTCTACATGCTGGGATCTTGACTTGCTCTGGCAGGCTGCACAGTACGGGAACCCATAGCAATAACCAGCACTTGTCAGTGTGCTTGCAGAGACAGAGTGCGAACAAGTTAGAATGCGAGAAGATGAGCAGACATGGAGGCCAAA